TTCCCTAGCTAATCACTCGCAAATATATAATATGATATTTTATTTTGGTTACTAATGTAAAGCAAAAGTGTCAAAAACATCAAATAATTATAAAATCTCAAACTAAACATTAACATTCAAATACCAAACACATCCAAAAATTATACCGTCCAAACATTAACAATAAAATACCAAAAGCATCTGTCAAAGTTTAACATTGATTAAGTTTTGATTTCAAAGTATAAGGTACCATAATTCTTAATTTCATCTCATATTTTGCATTTCCACATACATCTTCTCCATTTCTTGATATTTTGCATCCAAAAGAAGGATTGGAATGGAACTGGGTTCTGATTCGAGTTTAGACCCACAGAAATAGGACCACATGCTACTTACTTTGATGTCTTCCAGCTTTTTTCTAGATCAGGGATCTTTGTTGGAAGTAAATGCAGGACAAGAATGAAATTGAATTCCGATTCTGACCAAAAAGTAAAAGAGGAATGAAATATGGTGTTTGTCGATTGGTCTTCATATTTGATTTTTTGAACATTTGTGTTGAGTCTTACAGACCATCTACCACACAAAAATTAACAACACATTTAACATTTTTATAAAAAAAAGGATGCAATATTTTGAATTAGGAAGGAAATTACAAAACTAACCTTTGTGGTCTCTAGGTCATGCCATGTGCCCTTCTCTAATTGCATACAACCGCCTTTATCAGCAAAATTTTATACCACCGGGAACTCTGAAAGTTGATCCTCAGAAATAGGGAAAAAATGCACACATTATTTAAAGTTTATATCCATGACAGATTATTTTATAAAACTAAAAAAAAACACCTACCATCGATCATTTCAAGGAGTTGGAAATACATTAAACCTCATAAACAGTATAAGTGACAAATAACTCATTTTTATTCCACTTATCTTCTTTCATTTCAAAAGTCAGCTGTTGACTTAAGTAGGAAGAAGTGAAAGTGGTTGTCTTGAATCAGAATCTACACAATGATAGCCTGAAAAAAATTAAAAACAAGTGTTATAGATTTTATATATAAGTACATGTTGTTACTTTTAACAGGTTCCAATTCCAACACTTTGTTTTCTTCATCCTTAACTTTTGAAAGAGGGGAAAAGAACTGGATATAGAAAAAGAAGCAAAAGTTGGTAGAATGTTTATGAAAGAAATGGAATCTATCAAAGGAATTGGAATCTCCAATTCCAACTCCATCGGAATCCACAAATAACCATTTACCTGGTGCATTGAAATGAAAACAATAGAAATTCCTAGCATGGAATTTATAGTCAAAGTATGACCATACAAAGCAGCAGATGCAAAGCCTGTGAAGATTGTTGCAACAATTGATGAATATTTTTTTTTAAATTGTATCTGCATGACACAAACAAATAGTATTATTACTAAAAAATAAATAAGTTATATTTTGGGGTTTTGTACAAGAAATATAATTTACTTATTTTACCTGCATATTTGAAGAAAAATGAGGATAAAACTCCTTGCCCTGCATTGTTTATAATCAAAAGCATGGTAGCTTTTGAATGTCCATGCAAAATATCAAAGCTTTCAGGCCCTAAAAATTAAAAAAATAGGACATAAATTAATTGTTTTGCATTCTTTTGTTGTTCAAAAATAGGACATAAATTCTGGTTAGTAGATTACATCATTACATGTAAATAGAGTTATCGACTAGTCAACGCAACCATTTTTTTTACATGTAAATGGAGTTCTCTTTTAGGTCAAAGTATAGGAATTATTTGACAGTGTTCCACAAAAGCCTAAACTCGGACCATAAACTGATTCGGTATATGAAGTTCTCTCAAATCTACATATGCATAGCCCAATTCAGTATATGAAAAAATGAAAGTGAAATAAAATTTAAAAAAAAACATAAACTAGTGTAAAGAAGCAGAATGAAAGTGTCTTACAACTGATTGTTTATGTTGATTCACTGGAGAGATCACATATTCACATACCCTCCAAAGTTATAATTACCACCAATGTTTATGTAGATATAATAATCCATTATAACCTACATTTAACACAAGCTCTCATAAAGCCTTTTTGAATCACACTACCCTTCTGAAAATAGAAGTCTCATCTGCGAGAATAAAAGAATTGACACTTTAAAGTGATTAAAGAATTACAATTTAGAAAAAAAAAAGTAAACTTCCAACTTACCATAATCAGTTGCAATACTATGTGATGTTGCAGCATTAGTTAATTTCTTTGTTATTTCCAATATTTGGAGACTAATAGCAACACTAACCTAAAAAAATAAGTCTTTTTGAGGGATAGTTTCTATAATGTTTTAGAGAAACAAACAAGTGTTTTTAGTAAATCATCTAACAAAAATATTATTGTTGATAGTTATATTTCATTATACCTCCAACAATGACTAAACCATCTAACTTCAAGACCTTGCATGCAGCCATGACATAATTTACTTGATCTTTGGTTCTGATTTGGTCCTTTGTTCGTCCCAATGGATCATAACCACCTTCAAAGGGTTAAGATAGTCATATATGAAATTACTTGAAGAAACTAGAAAGAAAGAACAACAAAATTATATTTCTCATTAAGTACCTTGATTTTTGTAGGTTTTCTTCCCAAAGTTCCTAAACAAGAAATCAATACACCAGTCAATGAAATCTACAATTTTTCTAAGTACCACATGTATTTCAGAATACATACAAGTTTTTGCCTCAAAATAGGATGTAGAGATTCTCTCAATGCTTGTGTTGAAGCTCCAGTTCTAAAAGCTTGTGCTTGAGCCAAAGCTTCTCTTAAAGAACACGGTTGGCTAGAGGAGCTGACCTGGGAGTTCACTCTTTGCCACAAATATCCATTTTCAGATGCACCTTGTGGCTGCATTTCATGTGATGAATTTAGAAATACAATAAACATGTGTCATGATGACTAAATATGACCAGAAGGAAGAGATTATAACAAAATATACCCTAATTTCTTGATGAGATGCCTCAGATAGATACTGATTAATGGCAGGTGAAAGTGGAGACAATTAACATATATATAGCTTTATCTAAAAAGGTTGCTTAAAATACATAAACTATTTGATACCTTTCCTTGAATGCATTTCCTCCCATTGTCCACTACATGAATGTTTGAGTCCACAATTACACCTATAATTGGATCCTGAAACAAAGAACGGAACTTTTACTGGTCACATTAGGTATTATTCAAATAGTGAGATACTCAAATGATAATTGCTCTCTATGTACTATTAGATGTTAACTCTAAATACCACACAACATGAACCAAGATCTAACTCGATAGCTATATCCTTGACCTAAAAGTCAAACATGGATCCTACAAAGATAATTACAGATAATGATCCTAAACATTATGGAAATCATGATCGATGTCATTTTGAAATTGAGCCCTTTGTCAATGCATATACACCTAATACTAAATTTGTGTCAGTTTAAATCTAGAAAAGAATCCATCTGCTAATATATAGTCCATAATATTACGATCATCAGGAAGTAAAAATTAGAGTTAAGATGATAATCAATATGAAAATTCCCATTGACTAAAGATTTAAAAAATCATAAAAACTCATCCAGAGACCGAGGGTTTTAAACCGTAATAGCAAAAACAAGATATAAACAACGAGAAAACCCCAGGAAAACCAAAGCTATGAATTAAGGAAGGTAGAGCTTAGAAAGAGAGTCGTGATTTGAGCTAAAATTGAAATAGAGTTAAGAGTGCTACATGGAAATTGGAACTTACACACTACTAGAAAACAGAACTGGAAGCTGATGAAGACTCCTTTAGATTTGGTCTACTTTATAAGAGAGGATGAACCATCAGTTCAAACAACGTTGGCACGAAAATGACGAGTCAATGAGGTAGGCCAACGGACTGAAATGAAAGCCAATGAGAATATGATTTCTAAGGTTTTCCAATACTCTTCAAGCGATGCAGGGGGACAGTGATGGAGGTGATTTTCCGGCGGAGGAAGGATTTGAGTCGACAAATGTTAGATTAGGATTTTGGGAGGAAATCGTTTAGGGATTTGGGAAGAAATCAGAAGGAATGAAAATAAAATAAGGGAATGGGCAAAAAAACGGGGGATGAAAATAAAACGAGGGAAGGAAAAAAGAAGGAAAAGCGGGGAAAAAAATGGAGACGTCGATTTCTGCGAGCGATTGGCGAGGGCCAAGAAAAAAAGACATGCGATTTTTAGTAATCTCTCGTTCTTTCCATCGCTAAGAGCTTTTAATTTGCGACAAATTAGTGAGGGAATAGTTTTTTGTCTATAAATTCTTACAAATCCGTTGTTGGTCTCTCGGTAATGTCTCTCTAAAATTCTATAATTATTGTTGTTGAAATATTTGTGCATTCCCTCGCTGATCTCTCGCTAAGCCGTCATTGCATAGCTACAGACAAAATCCGTGGCTAAAGGTCATATTTCTAGTAGTGAAAGGTAAAATAGTCACTTTTATTTTTCAGCACAACAATTTAGAGGTCTAACCAAACAATATATTTTCATTTGTTATTCCTTCAGAACCTCTAAATCATTCGGGCTTATCATTCAGAGGTTGCCAAACAACCCTTTAGTTTATACTCTTTTAATATAAAAATTATGTATTTTTGTTATTTATATGTTTCTAGTAGTATCCAATATTAATATCAACCAAGAAGATATTAAAATTTGTTATAAGTCAGTAGATTCTCTTTATATTCTAAATTTATAAGTTTGTGTAATGTAATAAAGGTGTAAACTATTATTGGAAATGAAATGAAGGAAATATATATATATTAAAAAATGAAACCATGAAATTTTTTCAAATGAAAATTAGTATGTAGTTTCTGGATTGGTGGGACCATAATCCCGGCAGATAAGAGCCAACCAATTTTTTCAAAGAAAATTCAAAGGGTCCTAATAATCTACAAACCTTGCAAAACTCCTCTCACCTGTTTCGCTTAATTCAAAACTTCAATATAGACCACTACTGTTCTTCAAGAGAGGAAGAAACAAGATGGCATATGCACATGTCCAGATGTTCATGGAAAAGCTGAAGCAGCTGATATACTCCAATGATATTCCAGTGATCAAGGATAATCCATCAATTGTACATGAAAGGCCTCAATTCCAACTGCTTTATGAAGAGCTTGGCTCCATGATCCAAACCCTTTTCAACAACGAAGACCAAGATATACACAACTTTGAAAAAGTCAGAAAACTGAAGAAAAGATTCAAAGTTGCAGCTGAAGAGGCAGATGATATAGTTGATATTTTTGTATCTGCTGTCCACTTTAGAAATAATGGATATTTCCCTAGATCTGATGTCTTTCACCCCTCTCTCCACCTTGAGGTTGTTATGAGATCAATCGAGTCTATCAAGATAGAGTTCATGACCATTAACATCGATAACATGAAGATGGACTCTTCTCTGAAAACTAACACACTGAAAATGCAATCTGCTGGCACTTCCCACAATAGAAATTCAAGGGGTTCGAAGAAATTATTGGAAAAAGTCGTTGTGGGGTTTGATCGTGATGCTGAGATAATACGGGACAAAATTGCTGAAGATGGGAAGCAGTTGGATGTGGTGTCTATTGTTGGTATGGGTGGAATAGGTAAGACTACCCTTGCTAACAAAGTCTACACTGATCCTTTTGTTGTTTATCATTTTCATGTCCGTGGATGGGTCACTGTTTCACAGACATATGACAAGCGGGATCTGTTGATTCAAGTTCTGTCATCCATAGATGATCAATTAGAGCTTAAGAAAGCATCGTACTCTCAACTTCATGAAATGCTGCACAGGAGCCTATACTGTCAGAGATATTTGATTGTCATTGATGATATCTGGAGTAAAGAGGCATGGGATAAGTTGAAGTTGTTTTTCCCAGATCATAACACCGGAAGTCGAATTCTACTTACTAGTCGCCTCACTGAAGTTGCTGCACATGCAAAATCACTTGGACTCATTCATCATTTACAACATTTGACAGAAGAAGAAAGTTGGAAGTTGCTGTGTGAGAAGGTGTTCAAAGGAGATGAATGTCCCAAATGGTTGATTGAACCTGGTATGCAAATTGCAAAAATCTGTCACGGATTGCCTCTTTCTGTGGTTGTGATGGCAGGAGTTCTAGCAAAAGAACCAAGGCATAAAGATGTGTGGCTAAAAATCTCTTGCAGTGTCCATTCGTACATTGCTGGTGACGAGAAAGGGTGTCTTGAAACAATAGCATTAAGTTTCCACCATCTGCCTCTTCACTTGAGAGACTTCTTTCTCTATCTTGGTGGGTTTCCAGAAGACTACCTGATCTCCTCACCATGGTTGCTTTGGGTATGGATAGCTGAGGGATTTATACAAGAAGATGGAAGTCAAAGCTTGGTGGAAATTGCAAACGGTTACCTGATGGATCTAGTTGACAGAAATCTTCTAATTGTAGAACAATTGTTTGCTTGGTGTGATGTCAGTGTTTGTAAAGTCCATGATCTTGTGAGGCAGCTATGTGTGGAAAAAGGAAAAGAAGAAAGATTCTTCTTGAAAATTTGGCTGGCCACCATCTAAACATGATCTCTGTGAGGTAATTACCACACATAAGCAACGCCATGTGTTTACAAATCAAGATATCGACATTATGAGTTTGTCTTATCCGCCCGCCCCAAGTATTCGATCGCTTGTGTGCTTTCAAAGGGAAACAACCTTAACTCACAATATCTCAAAGTTTTTCCATTCCTTTGCACTTCTTAGGGTGTTAAGTCTAGAAAGATGTAAATTGATTGATTTTGCCCCCTGTTTAGCATTACTAATTCATTTAAGGTACCTTGAAATTTGGCTGTCATCGTTCCCAAGATCAATATGCAATTTATGGAACCTTCAAACCCTCCTTGTTAGAACAAGTTCTAGTTCTATAATTTTACCTAGTAACATATCAGATTTGGTGAATCTGAGGCATTTAGACAGTAATGCAGATCTTTATCTTCCTTCTATTGGAAAACCCATGAAACTACTGGAATTTATTTCGAATGTGGATTTGGGAGATGTGGTAGATAATTTTCAGAAATGTTTTCCTAGGATCAAGAATCTCACATCTACTCTTTACTCTGACGAGGAAAATGACTTTGAAGTACTCCATCACCTTCGAATCTTGACGTTAATTGGGTCAGGCTACAGCAGAAGGAGATCAGTTGAGCGAGAATTTCTGAGAGGTGAACCGAACTTGGGAAAGAATCACATTATAATTAGGTTCCCTGCAACACTGAAAGCACTTACACTTGTAGGGTGTGGTCTACCATGGAGCTACATGTCCATCATTCAAGCGTTACCTAATCTTGAGGCTCTTATAATAAAAGACAATGGCTTTGAGGGAACCCTTTGGGAAACAGGTGAGGAGCAGTTTCAGCGACTAAAATTCTTGAGCCTTAAAGAGTTAAATATTAAACAATGGGAAGCCTCAAGTATCAACTTTCCATGTCTTGAACAATTAGAGGTGCTGAAATGCGTTGATCTTGGAGAGATACCCCTTGAATTAGGGGACATCTCAACGCTTGAGTATATTGTAGTTGAGAATTGTGGTGCTTCTCTTCTGGAATCCCTTCAAAAAATACAACAGGAGCAAGATGATGCGGGAAACTATGAACTGAAGATCAGTGTTGATGGAAGTTATATGCCCCCCTGTGAACCCAATCATGATGATTAATACATTTTAGTTGGAGTCACAACTGACACCATGAATGTTTAGTACATAACTTGTTGGTCTGTTGCTACCTAGTACAGTGTATGTTGGTATTCTTTACCCAAAATATGGTATTGTTCAATTTGAGTTTTTCTCTTATCTGGTTGAATCTTTGTTTTTAGTCAAGTCTTTCTTAGTTGAGCTAGTAGTGAAAGAATAAGGCAACTTGGCATTATTTGTCTTGTATGAGAGAAAAAATCTACTCCGACAATCTGAATTAAACATCCCTTGGGAGCAAATGTTTCAGTTACTTCTGAGTTTATTACTGTTGACTGCATTCTTCCTTCCATCATATGGACCATGTATGACTTTTGGTCTTGTGTTGAGAAACTTGGTCTCAATGCAAGATAGTTTTTTTTTTCTTTCTAAATATTGAATGCAACTCTTTGATATGCAAAAACAAGATGCCACATAATGGAACTTCATTTCAACACTTATTAAATGACTTAAATTCTTGATTCAAAACATAAAGCAGACAACTCATGTACCAAAGGTCAGGTTTGTGCAATGCCAAATAGCCTCTTTTTACTCAGCACGGGTGTTTTTGGATCCATTCAATAGTGTTTCAGTTTATTCGATTTTTTTTAAATATATAAAACAAAATACACCTAAGTTGGTTTAATTAGTTTTGGATTATACCGTTCAGTTAGCCGATTAAATCATTTATAATAGGGGTGTGGAATAAACAAAAATACAGATAAGTTGCAACCCTAGTTTATCATTAAAAACACATGCACTCTAGAAAATTTGTAAACTAAAATTCGACTTCCGTTTTTACTACTTACTAATGTTTTAACATTTAAGAAATTGTGAAGTAACCCAAAAAGTGAATAGCCCCAACCAAATATAAATATTAATCTAATTGCTTATTCGGTGCATATGAAATACTAAAAAAATTACCTAAAACCGAAATGAATCACTCAAAAACTGAATAGCCCCAACCAAGTAACCCAAGCCTTATTTAGGTTACGAGAGTTTTCCGGTTTTGTTTTATTTATGACACCCCTATAAAACATGAGAATTAGTATTCATTTCTTCAAAATCATAACTGACCATTTGAATGTTTAGTATATGCATTATTTAAAAATGCTAAAATACAGCTTAGAGCACTCACAACATTTATTAAGAGGTTCATAAGCAACTACACAAGTATGAACCACAAATTGAGCTACAAGAGAAACTTGGGAGCATAGGGGGCGTTGAGGGGGAGGGGGGCGGGGGGCAAAGTGGGTAGCCGCACAAGGTCCAATTTTTTTATTATATATTTTATTTAAAAATAAAAACTTATAATAACGATAAGGGTCTATTTTTTCTGGCTCGTCCAGGGCCTTTAATGATTTTTGTTTTCTTAGGACCTAAAGTTTAGAAAACAAGAATGCAAAACAAAATAACCAAAATAACTCTTTAATTAATCGGAAACTAACTCAAAACCGATGTATCATAAACTCAATCATGAACATGTATATATAGCCTAACAAACCAATTTGTATTAGACTAGGAAACTTATGACCAACTTGTCATAAACTAAACTTTCCATAAACTAGAATTGCATGGTCTCCAAGTCCTCATCGACTTAGGATTCCAACAATTACTCCCGAATCTCTAAGTCCTTCTAGAGAATTCTTCAACCCAATCAACATCCTATTATCTCTTTTCACCACCCCGACCTCTTTAATGAAGCTTGTTCCGAAAGCACTTTTCCACTGAACAACAAGACAAGGTCACGACCACCTTTACCGTCTTCCGTCACCCGCAAAACGAAGCCGAATCAAAGTCACCCGCTTTGATGTCTTTCCGTCCGTTTATTCCGCGCTTCCGGTTAGTCGCTCTACCATAGAACAAGATCGATCAAGAAAAATTGAGGTTGTTGTTGAGATGCTTCAGCTTGCGCTAAAAAACAATCCACACCCCTTAAACCAAACCCGGTTCCCGTTGTGTCTATCTGCCCCGTAGCAAAGGGCTACACTTTCTTAAAACCGACTCTCAAACCGGCACCGTCTTCACCTCGCTCTGATACCAATTAAAGATTGGAATATGTAAACACGATTGTTTTAATCAAAATAACTCTTTGATTATATGAGAAACTCTCTCAAAACTCACGATATTACAATGTTTTCCAATAATCATAGCTCGGCCTAAATCAATGTATATATAACCCTAACTACCGACTTGTAATTAGATTACAATTAGGAAACTAGAAACCGACTTGTTTATGATTTCCTAAAAACTAGGTTGGTCTCCAAGTCCTACTCAACTTAGGATTCCAAAAATCACCCCTCGAATCTCTAAGTCCTTCTAGAGAATTCTTCAACCCGAACTGGTTTTAGAACACGGACTCGTCGCTGTCGTCACGTTCTGAAAAATCACCTTCTCGTAATTTTTGGAGTCGTTCCGGACATTCAGACGTAAAGTGACCTGCTTTGTCACAACGAAAACAAATCACCTTAGATCGGTCCTTTTCCCTAATTTTCCGATTTTTATCACAACAGCAATTACATTTTTTGTAATTATTGGAATTGGGTTGAGATAAATCAAAATTGTTATTGGGTTTTTTTGTCTTTGTGGGCTATTATTTGATTTGGGACCATTTGAACCACCCGATCCAACTGACCCAAATCCGGATCCATTGTTTTGACTATATCCTCCCGAGCCACCAGCCCCTTTCCATTTTCCTTTCGCTCCACCGTGAGACCTCGACGCACCTGCACCTCCTGACGACGACACTCCTCCATCTCCGATCGATTTCACAAATAGCATCCTCGATTGATCATTCTCATCGGCATCCTCTTCCTTTATTCCTTCTTTATATGCCTTCAATTGACCAACAACATCCTCGTATCCAACATGTTTCAGGTCAAGAACTTGTTCGAGGGAGGCTACAATATGGATGAACTTCTTCGGTAAGGATTTAAGAAATTTCTTAATCATCTTCGATTCTTCAATTGTTTCGCCAAGTGCTGCTGATTGAGACGCAATTCCGGACAACTTTCCAGCAAAGGTATCGATCGATTCTGATTCCATCATCTTCATTCTGTCGAAGTCAGAGCTTAGGGTTTGAAGGCGAGCCTCCTTCACTCGATCAGCCCCAACATGACGAGCCTTGATCGCATCCCAGAGGACTTTAGCTGATTCGACATCACCTAGTTGCATAATCAACGATTCTGGTATTGCTTGGTACAACAATCCGATTGCCAGGTAATTTTTTTCATCATTACCGTCTGTTCCTAGATCAATCGATGTCCAAGCTTTGTGAATTCTAAGCACTACTTTCATCCTCAGTTCCCAGACGGTGTAACTAGTAGAAGGAAGCATTGGACATACGACTGTGGTTGTCCCAACCTCCTTCACTCTCACCGGAGGAGCCCCTGCACCATCTTCTACGTCTGACATGATGATCTGGTAACAAACTCGATCTCACAGCCCTCGATTCCTTGGCTCTGATACCAATTAAAGTTTAGAAAACAAGAATGCAAAACAAAATAACCAAAATAACTCTTTGATTAATCGGAAACTAACTCAAAACCGATGTTTTTACAATCAGTTCTCATAATCATAAACTCGATCATGAACATGTATATATAGCCTAACAAACCAATTTGTACTAGACTATGAAACTTATGACCAACTTGTCATAAACTAAACTTTCCATAAACTAGAATTGCTTGGTCTCCAAGTCCTCATCGACTTAGGATTCCAACAGGACCGGCCCTTGGGAGTTCATCTCCGTTGGCTTGTCCACATTAATCTTATGGAACGGAATCTCCGATTACATAGTTCCATTGGGATCCGCAAAACCAATAAATCCTAATCATATAGTAACCATTCAAAAGTAATTTCATTTTCAACCCTCTTAAACTCAGCATCTTTCCATAATCTACATAAGATAAAACCATATTACACATTACCCAAATAGTCCTTAAAGTCTCAACTATTTGGTGTTAAAGAATTACATATATCAACTTACACAACACAAGACACAATAAAAGTGAGCAAATTCATTAATAACTATATAATCTCGGCATTCACCATTGAAAAGTCAAACTTTCTTCCCATTTTCCATTCGATTCATTCCTAAAAATCTTGTGCATAAAGTTATAGAATGGAGCATGCTTTTTGATCTCTTCCCTTCTTTTTCTTCTTTTGCTTTGGTGGCTAAAGAACCACTTTAATGGTCGCATCAAAACCTGTCTTCACGTTCTGCAATAACCATGTATGTGTGCAAAAAGACTTAAATACCCTTGCATTACATCCACATCATTGAAAATAGTTTCATGGGTGTCTCATAAAAAATGTAACTTCTTTCATCTTTAGATGTACCATAAAAGAATTGCAACTTTAATTTTGGTATTTACCTCACAAATATTATAAAAACTTTTATATTCCAAACTCTAGAGGTAAATTACAAAATTACCCTACTATTTTTAAGGATATTTATACCTTTGACTAATAGTCACACATTGGAATTTCATGGGAAAATATAATACTAAATGAGCATAAGTATGACATCAGCTGTTGTGTTTTTGAATTACACTTGATATAAGCAGGGGCACCAATTAGCTTCTTCAGCCCCTCTCCCTATCCAAATATAAATAATAATAATAATAATATCATTATTAAATTAATATTAAAAACTATTCGAGGTATATGAATAAAGAGGCCCTCTTTCTCAAACATTATTCATCACATCTCAAGGGTGATTTTCTCATTTAAGAGAAGTTAACTTTCAAAATAAATTGCATAACGGTTATGAAGTCAACTTAACACCCTAAGGACTATTAGATTTTATAACTATAGGAATTTAGCAGTTAACCTGTTACTATAATAATCATAGATAACATAATAATTCATTGGGTAATTCACAAATTGGTGAAAGTAATTTGAGCTATTATGTATTTTCCTTTATTATCCAAAACCATGAAACATAGAAAAATCATTTTTAAGATGGCCAAAAATAGTTAAGTGGC